CGAGGCTTCTCGCAACACAATCAATGATTCCCCATTTCATGAGGTCAGTGTGAGTAAACGGGGACAAACGTTATGCTACAAACAAGCTTACACTCATACCCTAAGCACTGTCGCAGACGCACTACAGTTGAGGGCTGCCATTATTGTCATTTCGAATTAATGACTCCCTTCATTCACTTTGTTGCGCAAGTACGAATCTGACGGTCGGCTGGTTAAAGAAGCTTTGCAGGGTGGCAATAATTATAAACAGACTAATGTTTACTAGCTATGGAAAGAGACTACAAGAAAGTGAATGTCAAACACTGCTCTCCATTCACTGTATGTTTTGCAGCAGTGGGGATGTACACTGAGCGAAAACTATACTGCATCGTGAAAAACTGGGAGTGAGAATGGCAAAAGTGCTCTGTTCATTCACAATCTGGTTTGCATCCTCAACAGACCTTTAACCTCCACTCCCATGGTGACATCCAAGTGTCACTGTGTAGGCACTCGACGAATCACTAATAAAGCCCACTGGTGGCCCTTCTCTGTGACCAATATCGAATGTCAGGAGTGCCCTTAATTCTTCAATCATTCGCCTAATACACTTCGACGATTCGCCTATGTCATTCTGTAGGCCTTGTTTTCTCGAATTTCATTCTTTCAGGAGTGTAAGCATATCGTGTTCTGGTTTGGCTCAACTACTTTTAAGCCACTCACAAATGCGACATCAAACAAATGCAGTTTAGTGGAGGTCAGCACTCTGGCACCGAATTCAAACTGTGTGCAAACGTGACGTGTAGTTTGAGATCCAGACAAATGGGCAAGTAAAATGATACTTCCATCGATTCTCTGTTTAAATGTGGACCTTTCAAAGCCTGCATCCATGTCATGCAACAGGTGCACAGGACAACATCAGTCACCTCGACTAAGCTCTGTTTCACAACCTCTACCATTTCACTGCTTGAATTTACATTTCACCTCAGGTTAGTTGGTTGGTTGGATGGTGGGAGGGTTTAGTTTCATTTCTGCTGGATTGCACCCCACAGTATTCACCGTGCTCGAGGTAATAGGCGGCAGTTCCTCAGCCACTGATGGCAGTCTAAGTTGACCGATTCTCCGGCTTAGTCACGATATCCTCTTCCTTCACCTCAGAACAGTAGTAACCGATCGAATCGGGCAAAAGAATAATTTTTGCCAAATTACTCAACTGACAGTTCGCTAGGAGCGTGAAAATGCGGAGTTGCTGGAAGGGAGGGCAAGTAAGGCGAACCAATCTGCATCAGCTTGACGGAACCGGCAGCTACAAAAGGCAACTCTGTTTTACTTGTGGAAACCAAATTATGGGCCGGTGAGGACATTAATGTGTTGAATAGGTGGAGGAGATGGACTTCACTCGCCTTCTTGGTGATCTCGGCCTCCTTCTCTGGGCGGAGGAGGTTTTGGCGGCGATGGAGCAGAGTCAACGCAACGACGATCTCTTATTGAAGACCATTCGGATGATTGCAACAGCCTGTATCGATGTGAAAGCTGCTAAGATGGTAGCACAAAGTGGGAGTCAAGTGATTCCGAGGCTGATTAAGCTCATGAATTGTAAGGCGAAATGTAGTTCGCGGCGTATCGTGTGTCTGATTTGAGTTGGCGTCGAATGCACTTTTGTAACTCGTCATTGTTACCCGAATGGAAACATTTGTGAAGGCAATCGGCTACAAGCAACTTGTCAATGAGCAGCAGCACCGCAGTCTGGTGGAAGTGTAGACTTGGAGGATTTAAAAGAATTCAAGCCTCGCACCTGCACCTCATGGTCATTTTATTTGTACTTTAGTGAAGTAATATTGCATGGATTAATGATATTCCATTTACTGTAAGCTACAAGGAAGTCGGCGAAATAAGTAGCAAGGCGCTGTAGCCATTGGAACTCGAATAGACCTGAAGTCTATGAAGTAAATTTAGAGAACAAATCTTCGTTAGATTTACTAGATTTGCTAAAAACAATTTGGAAATACTGATAATATCCCATCTTTGTTTACGGGTTTCATTCATTAGACCTTGCTACTCCACATTACACCACAAGGAAATAGTGAAAACTATCGACCGATCTACTACTTATTGTCGTTACCGCTTAATTTGATCCCCTTAAAGTAAGGAACCATAAAGCATTCCAAAAGATTGCATCAGACTACGAAGATTTAAGTTGCACCCAATTTTACATACATACACGGTGCAGGAGCGAATGAAATTCTAACTTAGGAACTCACCACTTTTAAGCCCAACGAAATCAAAGGCAAGGATGAAAGGTGGGTACGAGCCACGTCTAGGTGAGCCAGCTAACTAACAAAAACGCTTAAAACTGTATTAATGGATTGGATTAGACTAACTGGGACCTTTCATTTGGATCAGAAGTTGCATCGCCAGTGGCAATGTAGCAAATTCCGAGGCACAGCTTAGGAGGCCATAGCCCAGTGTCACTTTCCCTTTCATCTCCCATTACAGCCCGACTTCTCCTCACCCCTCCTCCCAGTCTCTTTGGTCTCCAGCTCTCAACTTGAATGCCTCAACAAATACCAAGACACAAACAACAATCTTTCGGTTTCCGCGACAACAATAATGCCATCTCCACAATTCAAACAAAAAGAGGTTTAGCTCAATCACCATCAAGCAGACACTAACGTGGTTGCCTCTAGATAACGCAGTAAATCTTTGCAGAATTCAATAGGTTGAGCAAATGCTCCTCATTCATAGCTAAAATGATGCATATGAACGAACAGTAGGAATAAAGTCAAGTACCTGACGGTTATATCAACCGTCGTTCCACCACAAGGCTGTTTGAAGAATCCAAAGGCTAACTGCCATTTCACCATCATCGGGAAACGCCAAATGAACTCCTTAATTGCAACCATGAGTAGGTGCCTTTCAGCGACTATAATGCATATCATGGTTTTCATACAAATGTGAACAAAATACACTATAAAATAATCTGATTGTCAGTGTAATGTGTTGTCTTCACTGCCACTGTCATCGTCGTCGTCAACGTCATTGCCAATTTTGTCATTAGCACCGTCGACAGCCACGGAGGTCGGTATCTCCCCATGAATATCAGCGCTCATCCCCTTCGAAAAGGCACTCAATTCCACACGCACTCGATAGATTCCGATCAATAACTTCTGGAATAGACTGGAGACCTAAAATATATGAATGAATGAAGGGGTTACTTGAGAATTCCTTCCTCTGGTCGAGGTGCACCTACAGCCCTCACATACTTGGGTCTCATGATCCCACCTCTGATACACGGTAATGGAGTTGAGTCCACCTTTGTTCAAACGACTGCCCAAGACGAAAACCCGAAAGCCAGGCAGCTCATCAACATCAATCGGACTTGTATTTGAGGAAGTATTTGTAGTCTTGAAGTTCCGCATCGGAGTCAGACACACTGAAGGCGTATGCGATCCATTGAAATAGGCAAGATTGTAGACGGGCATCGACTGACTACAGCGCGGGGCTATCACTTGACCATCCTAAGGGTATATTGAAAAAAGCACATCTGGTGGGTAGGAAAAGGAGAGGAAGAGCCAAAATAAGGAAAGGAGGAGCATTTAAACCCTTTTACCTACTTGTAGATCCACACAGACCACGTAGAGAAGAATCAGTTCGTCCATTGCCGAGCCCCGACTAATACTACTAAAGTGGTCTGAGTAACAAGGAGGTGTGTTGAAGGTGAGTTGGAGAAGGGCAGTCGATTTGACGTTTGAGACCATCTGTACGGGAATGAAGCTTAGAGAACGCGGAGTAATAGACTGCTGTGTATTGGGGTGACCGGGATCAATGAGAATGACACCCGGTGGAAGGCTGGCACGCACAATATTGATTAAGTATTGATCCATCCTACCAATAAGAAGACATTTAATTGTAAATGTGGAATTTCGATTGGGTTGGCAATAACCAATTCCACCCATCTTTTCATGCCATGTAAACATCCTCATAAATAAACTGAATGCCGTCGAAATCAAGACAGCTATCAATATCAATAGTAGAAAATCATACATGCGATTTGCAGCGATGAGAGCCTCCTGGATAGCTGTGTTACCTAGATGGAGGGCCAGCTGGAGGGGTAAAAGGCAGCGTTTGGCGCGCAACGCTGCGGCGCTGGGGAGAGGATTGGCACCATACGCCAGCAATAGCCCCACGACAGCCATATGTTCACCGCGGATCGCCTAGTCCGTGAGGGATGAGAGGTATCAGCGTAAAAACATTCTAATTCAACATGACCAACCCAGAGGTTTAGATTTTCCGAACTATGCTAAATCCCCACCATGATCCGCCTTGATAAAAAAGACCTCCAAATTTTAAACTTCGAGGCAGTAGTTTCGCTTTCATGCGACAAGATTTTCATATTGCCGACTACTTTTACCAAATACCAGCGGTTAAAAAGCTTTAATTAGGCAATAAAAGCTCATGCTTCCTCAAAAAGACAAAAACTCTGACGATCCAATATCTACCGCCCCACTCAATTATTCATTCATTGAACCAATCCACTTCTTCATAGCTTCTTATTGGCAAACAGTAATTAACTCTGAGTTCCCAGACAACGGAAATAGTAGGATGTGAAAGCTATGGCCTCAAAGTTAAACATGTCAAATAAATAAAATAAAAGGATTTACTAAAAGTAGTGCCGTTTCAGACTTTGCATTGGCAGCTTCAGGATCAGCACCCCATTGAAGAAGCACCATTGTGGCCATTGTGTGACCCTGTGAATTGAACCAAAGGTGGATGAGATGAAAATATTTTCGCAACTGAATTGAAACAGGTATCAAAATAAGCGCGTCCAAGGCAAAAAAGGTGAACTCACGGCTGCTGCTGCGGCCATCAAAGCAGTAGTCTCGGTTAGAAACGACTTGGCATCGACTTCCGCCCCGGCACGCAACAGCAATCCCACAATGTCAGCAAAACCTGTGAAGATTATTAAATAAAATGAGTCTAACTGCGACGCATGCAGTGAATGCTTAGGAAAGTGGTTCGTATGTTTCCTTCAGTGTTAGCTGAGAGGAATCTCCAATTCCGCATCTGTAACTCCGTGGAAATAGATACAACTATAAAAATAGATCACTTAGGTTCCAGTGACCACCAAAATGACCCATTCAAAATCTCTAATTAGGCTTACGAGTATAGATAGGTCAGCATCAACTTTGAGATAGGAATTCATAAATGACTTAAGCTTTTCGATAAATGATGACCAAGATTAGTTTGCAAGGCTTTAAACACTTAACACTTCTAAGTGCTACGAGGTCAGAGAAATAATCAGTGAAATGCATTTCTTTTCACACTACACAAAAACTGCATCGAGGATGTTAATAAAAAACCGATTAAGATGCTGAAGCTACCAAGATACAGCGACGTCCACAACATTTGATACATCACAATGCTTTGGCTGAGCTGTTTGATTATGTAACAAATGGATTATTTAAAAAGTCGAATTATGCATCAGTCGTATTAAACCACTTACCAGTCAAGAAAGCCATTTTAGAAGATAAAAATCTGTTTGAGGTGATAGCTAAGCGATTACACCATGAAAACACCTTATAAGAATTTAAAGGATCTTACATCTTACAGAATAGTGAGTAAAAAACGACAAAATATATCCAATAAAACGATTTTAAAAGGCTACCTCGTCCTGCTGCTACCATCAGGAAGCGTGGTTCCAAGGGGGCGTTGACGTTGGGAGTGTTGGGAAGGGAGAGGATTCGACAGACCTCATCAGTGTCCCCATTAAACACGGCGTCCTTAAGAGCAGCCTCGTCTGATGCTGAAGACCGAGGAAAAGCATCTGATGTACAACGTACATGTAGTTCGAGCAGCAGTAACCTTCAATACTATCTAGGCTTACTTACTCGTTGGAATTTGATGCCGAAATGCCTTGCCTTGTCTTGCAAACGGTAGCAGCTAAAAAACATTTAAGTAAAAATGTAAAGCATCTCCATCGATTGGCTCGTCTGCAATGAGGGCTGTGAATACATAAGACCGACTCATCATAGGAGCTCACTGGCGCGGCTCAAGCTCCTATCGTTGAAAATGCAGCCTTCAACTTAAATGGTAGTAAAAAGGGGAGAGGGAACAGTTGATTGGGGCTAGCTGCTGTAAAAAAGAGCAGCTAGTTGTCTAGCTTGATAAAAACAGGGAAGAGAGCTCGCACTTCCTTAGACGAACAGAAACCACCAGTTTGTTCTGCATTTGACACTTACAAAGACTAATGGTTGAAAGGGGCAAATAAAAAGAGCACGCACCAGGGATGGAGGCTTTGAAGAAACACTTGAAGGTGGCACTAAATGAAAAACGGTTACGCTGAAGGTGTAAGAGCAGGATCTTACAAGTGTTTGGATCAATCAACGCAGTGTTCTTTGCAGTCGATTCAGCGGAATCATTGCCACTGTCTGTAACTGGTTGATTTTCGAAGCTTGAGATGGACAATATCTAAGGCAAAAAGCACAAGCTGCAAAACTGCTCCTTAGATTTTATTTTCAACAATCTTGCAAGCGATAAGAATTGCCGAGTTATAACAAGGAGATTATAGCCAGCTTCTAATTTCCACCATAGGTTTAGCATTGATGTTATTCTAAGAGATCACTCAAGACACTAGTGCCAGATGGTAAGATAAGCGCATTGAAACGTGACCAGAACATAGTAGAGAAATGAAGGCACGAGTCTGTATTCGAAATGTTTAGGAATCCAGAAATAACTAAATTAGCAGAAAATGTTTATCGATTTCTACTTCGATAAACCAAAGTCAATATCGTAGTTGAACAGAGTCAGACAGAATATGAGCGAAAAGGTTTGGTATGCAGACTGTAACAAAACATATTATGAATCCATGGTAAGTAATGAAAGGACTCACACGAGAAGAATTTTGGAGCAGAGAACCTTCCTGAGCTTCTCGCAAAAGACGTGGATCACGTGAGGCGTCAACGCTCATAGGTCTTCACCAAGGTTCAAAATTAAAGACACGTTTCTAAACAAACGCATAAATCTTGGCGAACATAGACAAGTTCAAGAAAGATAAGTTGATGTAATTGCAACTCCGTTACTAGCCATTCATGGAATTCATAAATAATAGCAACACGTCCTCTGCACGGATGTGAAATATTGCAACATTGCAAATCGTGCAGATTAAAACACGTATATTGCAATAAGTTATAGATGCAGAATGGTTAAAATGGTAAAACCAAACTGAGGAGAATTAATTCATCACAGAAGAAAGGGTGTAAAAGCCAAGGGCTACGAGGTGAACAAGGTAGACAAAAACGACAGCAAAAACGTCTGTCTTATGCTAGACTAACGCCCATTGGGAGCATATCCAAATTCAGAAACCTTTAAAGAAAACATGGTAAAACCGCTATCCTTTGTGTCCTAAATCCATCAAATCAATCCCTGGAATTACTACCACTATAGTATTAAGATTTAGCAGATAGCACGATGTTAGCTGCGGATGAATTACGCCACAGCTGCTTCCAAATAAAGAGAAACAAGCACCAAGAGAATTTGTACAATCCAGTACACTAATGACGACAGACAAACCACACAAGTGCCCAGAGTATGGAGTTCACCGAATGGCTCCAGTAGCACAATCTTGACAATTTAAACAAGCCTTTGCAGTAAATGGCATTAACGTCTCATTTGCTGAATTTGAATAGGACAGAGCTGTGCATAGAAAAATTGCAACTGAGCGGCTTGCAATTTGCGATGAATATAATTAAGATTACTCCAGACCAAACAACACACGAGCTAAAAGCAATTTAAGTGTGAAAACTTCGACATACATCCCTCTCACCCCTAAAAACGACTGCATAAAAGATACACCGAAGAATTAAATCATAATAAGCACTGTAGAAACTGCCTACAATGTTGTTTACACGAATACCTAACGCTCGTCGGTCACTCTAGAACTTGTCTGGCCCTTGTGCTTGTAGGCTGGTCTTCGGACCATGCTCAGGCCCATTTGTATCCAGCCTCACTTACTTCTTCCACCCGGTAGTAAGTCTCGAGACACTACATTGCCTGCCTATCCTCATGTCTGTGAACCTTGGTATTTAAGAGAGGATTAGCTGCAGTAGAGTTATTAGATATTGAAGCAGAAAGAGCGGGGATAGGAGTTTAGATTAGTCGAATAGCAGATATCACCTGGAGAGGGAATCCTCACGATCCTCACACACGGAATTTGTGTTCAAATTGACTTCCTTACCAAGGCAAACTTAAACTAGCATATATTACAAGTACTTTAAGAAGGAAAACAAGACAAGATCTTAGTGTATTAGGAAACATACGCATACTGACCTAAAATGATGACACCCACTTGAGACTACGTGGAGGCCAAATGGAGGCGCAGACAAGGTTTTATCTATTCATCGTTCGCCCCTTTTGTGAGATTTTAATTGCCATATCTTTGTATTCGACATTTTAACTTGTCTGTAACGTGAGGTTATCAAATAGCCAGCTATGCTTGTAGAGCCCTTCTCCCCTCTCTCTTCGTCTTTGGGCACAGTCTTCTGAGGAAAGTGTGGTTAATAGAATATATGTTGGACATTGCGACGTAGGTACTCTGCGAGGATCAGAGTACAGCTGAGGTATACGGATTAGTCCTGAGAGGCGTTCCCACACTCCGCCTTCAGCAGGTGAATTGAGTTCGCGCATCTTTCATGCCAGGCACATTACAAACAATAAGTATGAATTACAGTGCTAATTAAGAGATTAAATCAATGAAGACTACTTTTGACTTTCTAGTATTTGGTGTCACTATGGAAGTTATCTTCGAAGTTGAGCTAGCGCGCTAGCCAAAGAGATGGTAGCCCAAAAGGGAATCATGTTTTTTTACTACGTTTAAACAGAGGTCCTTTAAGGAAAAGTTTTACTTCTATTCCATCATACTTTTCTCTAACCAAATTTTATCAACCCGGTCTTAGCGTCCCAAAGACATTGGATTGTTCACATGTGTTACAAAAAGTGAGAGAGTTTTGATCACGGCATCTTTTAGAGGTTAGCCCACCCGGCAAAGGTGGTATAGCTGCTCAGACCTACAAACATTACCTGTCATAAACACCAAAGTTCGATTCTGATGGTAGAGAAGTAGATGTGCTTAATTTCTGGAAATTTGAATATTCCTGCAAGATTAGCAAATCTACTAAAATGGTTTACCTACTTAACTCTCTGGTTAAGTATTGCTCCATTTAGAGGCTATCTTGCCTCGTCCAGTGGCCTGACCTCCACATAAATTTGGACCGTTCCAAACCTCTATCTCCTTGCATTCTCTCAATATATATGTATTTGGCCAAGTTTTATGCAGTCTAGCATGTAGAGCTGCATCTTGAGTCACTGTGTATGGTTGAATGCTTATATTCAGACAGGAGGGGTGGAATTTTTGATATAGCCAAACTCAAAGGCCATTCTCACCAAACAGGTGACCACAGCATTACACTATCTTCCCCCTTTCTTTGACCGGTGCGTCGATCATCAGCCCTTTTGAGAGTGAGGGCATGTACTTAATTCTATCAGTAGCATGAAGACATGAACCAGAGGTGTAAACTGTCATTTACCGCCAATTGTGGTCAGGGATAGACGCTGGAACATTGCTGCAAAACAGAATTATCAAAAGGAGAGACGGGAATGAACACAGTCTTGGGTGGAGAGGGGTATAAGTGTAGTGTTATCGCCGGCATCCAAACACGGGCATGCTAAGAGAAACTCTAAAGCGAAAAGTCTCCACATGGTTTCCGGCTGTGTCGCCGGGTAGACGTCCGATACAGACACCGTTATTAGGCCTTCTGTTACGAAGATGTTGGAGATCTACCGTCCGCAGCATTTGCACTTTACTTATGCCGTAAAACCAGTATTAAAGTCGCTAATGCCAATGCAAAAACTCGAGAAATCTCGTTCGATAATGGAGGGCATTTGGAATAACTAAATGCTTGTGTTCAAACAGAGGGGATGAAAGAGCAGATCTGGCCTGGATCGAGGGTTAGTCCGCGCAGCAAGTGCAAGATGGTCGTAATGTGTGACCTCCTGTATTTCCGGCGGTTACTTTGCTATTTATTTTGGTCGTGTTCTTATGGGCTGTCCTCTGGATCAAGCCAAGGCCCAATTTTCCCCTCTTCTCCTTAAATATGTTTTCCACTTTAACTTAGTACCTCCTACTCAAAGGCAAGTCTCTCGACGCTACAACCGCCATACATACAAATAGTCAAATAAGCAAAACATTACACTAGTTGGAAGTTTCAGTCACTGAAAAAGACTTTCCAAGGCGAGTTGCTGCCAGCCTTGTTTCAAATGGCACTTGCGTAAAATAAATCTTTCAGTCTGATGAATGCACCCACGTTCTTAAATGATAAGACGTAGGATCTGACAAAAATAAGGATATTTACCATTATTATCAGGTCTACCATACGCTACCACCAATGTTGCAACCAAGGCTTACCTGAAGGCATAGAAAGATATAATGTGTATGCATTCAAGATAAAAGCGATTGGGAATTAATGATATTATCCCAGATATTTATGGTGATGAAAGTCCGATGTGGTGCTTTAGACAAAAGCGTTCCGATTTGTCTCATATTATTCGGAAAGCTCGACCGTCATTCACGTTAATTTTTGTGCATATTTATCCAAAGAGCGCCCTGAGACTTTACATCAGGTAGAAGAATGCATTATGTTTGACTGATAAACGTGTTCTATGGGTAGAAGAAGAAAATGAAGTCTTGACTTGGCCGAGGCGTACAATGGCAGAAAGTGTATCGTCCTGAGACTTCCCATAGGATGAAAGAAGGCAATAAGTGAGGCTGGATACATGCATTCCGAAGAGAACAGAGCGAATGGGCCTGAGCATGGCCCGAAGGCAAGCCTACGAGTACATAGGTCAGAAGAATCTCAAAGTGAGCGCCGAACGTCAGATATTCACATAAACAAAGCATTACATAACGAATGCCAAAGTAATCTCCAGACATTACGCGACCATATAAACAGTATTGCATTGTCTCTTTCTACTTTTAAGCATCATCGGCCCTCCGCTTGGTACACCTCCCGCGTAGCCATGTTCGGTACTGCAAGAAAGCACTCACGAGTCAGTTGTGCCAGTCAACAGCTACCATGAGACTTAGAAATGGTATTTGGTCCCCTTGACAGATACAACTGGATCTGGAGTTGCATTCGGTTTGCTAGCCAGAATCGGGACCGCATACATCTGTTGACCATCATTTACTCCTAGACCTAGATGCCGGAACTCTAGTCTAAAATAGATGCGTTTTAGTGAAAACGGGACTAGACACTGTCCCATACATCAGGCAATCCGTAGTCGCAGTCCCGACATCTACACGCGGATGTGGCAGAGATAATTCCGACACGAAACTTTTCCAGATGGTTACGGCAGTGTCGCCCCAGTTATAACGAACTTGTCTATGCAGCGCGAGGACAAGGTGAAGCAAGACGTAGACATCATTCCTAACCCTTCTATTGTAAAAAAATTTGAGAACCTCCAGCTCAAAGTGTACGTGTTCACTTCAGGCCGTAAATATGTGCCACAAACAATACGGACTGAGATAAAGTCATTAACAATGCAGGGCTTGCTCTCCGCTGCCAATAGTGCATTGGTCCTAAACATAATACTAAGTAGAAGAATGTGGTAAGTTAGGCTAAAATAATTTTAGAGTAAAATAAAGGATTAAGCCTTGGCTTAGCCCAAAGACTGGCCCAAGCATGGAAGAGTTGGACTAATAACAAAGTCACCGTTAAACTTCAGGTGGTCACGCAACCGAAGTATTACAAGCCACATGCCAGGAATTGAAACATTTTTTTGGAACCCCTTAAGCACGGATGTAACTAGCAAGATGACTTGGGTGTGCAAGAACACAAGTCTTAAGTGCAAACAAATTTTGTGACTGAGGTCTTACCATTTCATAAGTTATCTATACGCCTAAGACTATTATGTCATTTGCATTCTAATAACCTTGAAATGTATTTTCTTGAAACTTACGGACACCGCGTCTTTTGGATTTCCCAGTGGGGTGATTTTGTGCTTGGTTGATTCTGTGTGAACTACGAAATGGTGATGATTAATGTAAGGATTTTATACAGTTCTGCACCCTCTCAAGTAGTTCACGACTGTAGGTTATTGTGCTCTTTTTGTTTCTATAGTAAATGTATTATCTGTCAACCATTTAAGGAAAGGAGAACGACGTATTTTCCCGTGTGCTTCTTTAGTGGTTTAAAAGCGCATTATGCTTATCGCCTACTTGTGTCCATGTTTTCCGCTTTTTGAAAAGTTCAGTTTTTAATGCCTACTCTTAACCACTCCACTTTTCTTTATGGTAAAGTTTAGTCAATTACAATATTCTGCTCGTCTTCCCAGGCCGTACTTTTGTAATTCATTGCTATAAATATGAACTGATGAAGGTTCAAGTCGAACTCCGGTGCCCTTACGCCCTTTTGAACAATTTTCTGCTGCGCCCCAGTTACTGATGAGCCTTTTTTATTAGCTATAGGTTTATGCATCTTTGTAGATTGTGGCCGTTTTACTTGGTTTGACTCTTGCAAGTTGGGCTTCTGCTTCAGGTAATTCTTTAAATGCGTAAATATTTCATGCTTTGGTGTCATTAGCAGCATCTACCATACTTCCATGCATTTGGTCAATTTTAAAAATGGACTAATCCAGTCAGGCTTAGTTGTACTCATATTCATACTCAAATACAAATTATCTTTATAGCTTTGACATATTGTCTGATTCTTGATTGCGGCAATCAATGAAACTTGTGGCTTTCACATTACACCGATTTGTTCAAATCAGAAGTCCATTTTTCGAGTGTTGTTGAAAGGAACGGTATCTGTTTTCCGTCGGCAAAAGAGTGACTTCATGGTCCCATCCGCATTTCGAAGAGGCGATTTCTTTTTTTTTCCACAAACGCGGGTTACTGGATTACCTGTTCATTTGGGACGGATTTCCATCATTTTGACTTTTCTTTTTCATCTGCTGTTCTTTCCAGTCACTTGTAGTAGATCTACTTTTGTCTGTGCACCTTCTGTTACCAACTTTCAGCACACACGCTGTTTATTGGCTTCAATTGGGTCGTCTCTGATTTTATATCCCCCGACCCTCGAAGTAGAACGTGATTTCTCCAAGTGTGCTGGTTGAAACGCGATCCAAGCCATCGTTGGTTGCTCACGATTTCTAGTAGGTTATTCTTTCCTCTTTTTCCTTCACGAAGCCCTCCCAAGAAGTCAAGTTAATGTATTCCTGGTTTGTAGACGGTAATAGTTCTTCAGCTTTTAAGACGCTTTGCCTTTTATTTAAACTCCTCACTGCCCCGTCATGTTTGGCTCTCTCAGTCTCAGCTCAATTTTTTTCTAGTTCTGCTGGGCAGACGTGCGGATGATGCAAGGCGTCACGTGAAGCTAGCTCTGCACTTTCAAAAGCGTGGACGATTTTTCGCTTCCGTGAAGTTATCTCCGTTTCACTAGCTGATAAAATGGGAGCGAAATGCAAATAAGGTTTTAAGTACAAGAAAATTAGGAACTACTGCTTTCAGTTCCTTGTTTCTTAAGTGTCTGATCAGCTCCTTCCCCTGTCAGGTACGCCTGTCGCTATGCGCCCCTTTTATTCCCATATTTATGGATCAGAAAATGATGGGGCCAGCTGGATGGGTACTGAATCGGCAGTGTAGTTTGCCTGCTCTATGTCCATTGTAGCAATCTATTTTAGCTACATTGAGCAAGTTACGAAAAAGATGGCTTTCATGGAGTTAACGGGATTTTGTCTTTAGCGATAGGTAGGTTGGTTAACTGGGTCTTTCTGTAATGCTCTGATTTCATTCTTGCCCACAATTCTTAAAGTCGAAGCAAGTTGTATTACCATCAGGTTCGTCATCATTGATCAAGTTACCTACTGTTCGTGATATTTGGAAGGAGATGCCTGTGGGCGGATGCGCGAAGGCGTTGTTTGGTTACATTGATGGGAGGGTGGGCAGAGTTATCATTGTCTTGTGGGTAAGATACTTCCCTCATCGTCTAGAAGAGATTCATTGGGCGTCCAGCTATTAATTAAGCACCAATAAAGACGTCCAGCTTGAACTTGTCTCAGTAGTTCTTATTCGCATCCTTTTTCAATTTTCTGATTATCGAAATTTGGCAAGTTGTGTGGCGCTTGTATAAATCTTTTTTTCGTGCGAGTTGCGCCGCTCCTTATCCTTAAATAATGACACGATATGACTTATTCTA